ATAACACAATAAAAGATTAAGAAACTCAAATAAATTTCAATTAAAACGAAAATCAAAACTAAAACAATAAAACTATTTTTTTTTTTTTTTTGTTATTGTAATTTGAAATGTTGTAAAAATTATTTTAAAATACTGTAAATTGTCATTGTAGCCAATAATGAGTAGAAGAAGTAAAAGAAATAGAAAGAATAGCATAACAGTTTATTCATACAACAAATAAGTATTGGAGCTCAATCAACAACCGATGCAAAACTAAAAAAAAAAAAAAAAAAAAAAAAAAATTTATATTAAAAGTTAATTGAACCTGTCAGCTCGAAAAGGACACAAGTCCAAAATTTTTAACAGTTAGTTTATAAATTTAAATTAAAAATTTCTGTATGATTTACGTTTTTTTTATAAAAAAATAAAAGTTACATAAGTTATATACGTTCTTTATTTATCTACTTCTATGTTTAGTTTCTTTACCATCGTAGACATTATTTTAATAAAAATCATGTTTTTGTTGATTTGAAAAGTTTTAATAAATGGACTTTGTGCCCTTTTCGAAATGACAGGTTCAATTATTAAATAATACATAACAGACATTTCCAAACATTAGTTTAGTTTAAAAAAGCTTCTAACATTGATTCTAGGGATGTACCGAAGCTTCGGCTTCGGCTTCGGCATGCCGAAGCTTCGGCAATTTTGCCGAAGCTTCGGTTCGGCCGAAGCCAGGTCAATTTTTTGCCGAATCTTTGGCTTCGGCAAAAAAATTTAAGTAATTAAAGTTATAAGCTACTGTTTTACAAGTTATAAAAATATGCTAATTGCCAGTGTCTAATTAAGTTGTAAATTCAGGACTACAGAGTTAAAGTTGGATTCTATACCATATACTTAGTATTATTTACTCCCAAATGTCTTGTTATGAAGGGGATGATAATAAATAAGTAGAAATTTTTGAATATAATAATAAAATTAAGGAAGGTCCTCATACGCTTTGAAGGCTTTCAAGTGTGACTTTAGATGAACTGAATCAGCATTTTTATGCAGAATAAAAACCTTATAATTTAAAACAAATTGAAACTTTTTAAAAATAAAATGGAAAATAAACCTTAATTTGTATTATGTAACGAATTTATATTAATTTTTGTGTGGAATTACCGCAAATAGAACAAAAATTCGTTTGAACATTTGACCTATAAACCTTAGTAATCTCACTTTAAAGAAGATTAAAGATACGTTGCTACTATTTAAATTCTGTGTATGTTTAATTTTTTTTTAATTTTATTTAACCATAATAATAAAAATTTACAAATTTTCATCGTAAGATTACAGAAATTGGTTAGGTGTCACTTATATAGTTACAAACTAGTCGATGGAGTTACACATAAAAAACATAAAGTTCTCAACAATAAAAAAGAAAGAAAAGCAAATGAAATATAAATGAGGAGATTAAAAAAAGAAAAAAAAAGTCAACCAAAACTATATAAATTAAAAGAAAAAGAAAAACAATGATAATAATTATCCTTGCTGATAGTTAATATTTGATTTCAGATACTGATGCAGATTTATCCATTACAGAAAAAGAAGAAGAATGAATACTATAATTTCAGAGTGTAAAAGATTAATAGAAGCTTAAGAAAATGTTATGTAGTGTAAAATTAAAAATAATAAAAAAACAACAACAACAACTTAAAAGTGTGTAAAAAAGAAGTTAGAGAGAAATCTATCAATTGTACTTTTTTTAGCAGCAGGTTCACAACAGTTGTAGTGGAATACAAAATGGTCTTAACTTGGGTTTTTTTTTAGTTTAGAAATTGTTCGTTTAATGAATAGAGAGAAGTAAAAAAAAAATATTGAAATAAATAGCAATAAAAAGATAATTTGTGTTTGTAAGACTTTTTATGTTGTAAATACAACAAGATCAGCTAAGAGTGTTTATTTAGAGAAAGAAGGTTCAAGTGTAAAAGATAAACTTACTTGAGTAATATTCAGAGATTTTTATCCACTCTTAACAAAAGGTGCATTAAAAATAAAAATAAAATATACAGCACATGAAAAGATGCGTAACAGTAATTTATGGGGAATAAAATTTGAGGATGTTCAGCTAGCACACGATAATTAGATAGAGCAAACAAGATGATTAAATAGAGGATTAAAAATTAGATGATTAGATAGAGGATTAAAGAGAAACGATGTTTACATAGAAGAACAGTGTGGCTATAAAAGATCAAAAAAATAGCAATAGTCTTAGAAGAATATTGGGAATAGTTGGAAATATATGTGAGTTACTGATATTGTGCACTATATAACATTAATATAGTTTGCACACAGAAAAAGTAGAACTAGAAGTAGGAAAATTTGGGGAGAATGTTTCAAAAAAGCTTAAGTTTTAAAAAAAAACACTAGGTGCGGTGAAGTATCAGAAACGACATAATGAGAAACTTTCAAACAGGGGCGCTGAGAACTTTTGCCCTGCCTGAGGCAGCAACCCTGACTTGTGTCCTCATTTTTATATACTATTAGTCAAGGATCTTAGTTTTGGAACCTTTTTTGTTTTACACCCCTGCTGATCTGAATGCTGTTTAAATTTTAAGCATATATAGTGCCGAAGCTTCGGCTTCGGCCGAAGCTTCGGCTTCGGCAAAGTGGCTTCGGCCGAAGCTTCGGCTTCGGCAAAATTTTAGCTTCGGTACATCCCTAATTGATTCACAAGTGAAAATAATGTTTACAGCTATTTCACTGAAGTTTTTTGTTAAATCCATTATTGAAGCATGTACGCGAAATAAATGTGAAAGTATTAAATCTACTAAATAAAAGTACACGTCAATTTTTATTTTTAAATAAGTTATAATTTCAACGCATTAGTATAAGAAAATAAAATATTTTGAAGAAATTAGTTTGTTTTTGTGGCCATCCGATAAAACTTTGAATTTTTGCCTTGGTGGTACTCAGCTTTCGTAATAAGGATAGCTTTGGTTTTGATTTTGTGATTTAATGAGAGATAAAAGACGTTTTTGTAAACACCCTTTAACATTTATTCAACCAGAATAGTACTAAAATTTATTTTTTTAATTAGCCATTTTGATTAAAATTAAATTTACTTCGTGTTGAATTTTCCGTGTCAACGTCACGGAAGTTTTTTAATAATTAAAAGTATCCAGAAGTTGCAGAAGCTTCCAGATGTTTCCAGGAGAAGCATCTGGAAGCATCCAGAAACATTCAGAAGCATCCAGACGCACCCAGAAGTTTCCAGAAGCATCGAAAAGAAGCATCTAGAATCTTCCAGAGCAATTTCACACAGGTTTATTTTACTATATAAGAGACATGTAAACCGACATGTAATTCAATCAGTATATGGAAGTCAATCAGTCAGTATTATCAAGACAGTTTATCGAAGTGAGTTTTATTAAAGTGTTTTATCGAAGAACATCAATACAAGAAGTGAAATACAAAGAGTGTTTCATTACATCAATACAGTCCACATCCAACTAAGACGTTGTGTTCCACAGAGCATTAAAGTATCATCACAAGGTAAATGTAACACGGTAAGCCTTGAGAAGCGTGATTATTTATTTTTATTATTTTTATGACTTCAAGTGCAAAAATGGCTCCCGACAGTCTTGGATTGGAACTAAGAAACGAAATTATTGGCGATTACGTAGGTGGAATGTCACAAAATGTATTTGTGATAAATATCGCGTGAAAAAAAATGGACCATATCAAGACTATGTTCCAAATATCGTTCTACGGGGAAGTTGGCAGCAGATAACAAAGGTGGAAAACCGCGTTCCACCACTTCTAGAGAGGATTCTATGATCGTCAGATCCGTCAAGAAGGATCTCTGGATATTATCAGTCGAGATACAAAAGCAATTAGAGCTGCCCGTATCGGACCGATCAATCAGACGACGTGTGTGGAAGCCGGATTGTTTTCTCGATGCCCTGCAAAGAAACCGCTGATTTCACTAAAGAACCAGAAGAAAAGACTCCTGTTTGCTCATCTCACATTGACTGGAATGTGCAGAAATGGTGAACTGTCCTGTTCAGTGATAAATCGAAGTTCAACATCTTTGGGAGCGATGGCATTTGCCGTGTACGTCGACCGACCGGAAAACACCTCGATTTACGTTACTGCCATAAGACCGTGAAGCATGGTGGAGTCAATGTAATGGTCTGGAGGTGTTTTTCTGCTAACGGTCTAGGTCCAATAATCGAATCGATGGAATAATGGACCGTTTCATGTATAAAAATATCCTGAAAGATGTTATGTTACCTCATGCTGAATGGAATATGCCAATAAAATGGGTTTTTCAGCAAGACAACGATCCGAAACACACTGCAAAAGTAGTCAAGCAGTGGTTTCAAGACAACCACTTATCGGTGATGGATTGGCCTCCTCAATCCCCGGACCTCAACCCTATTGAGAACCTGTGGGAGATCGTCAACCGAAGAGTTAGTCGTGAAGGTGTTCGTAATAAGGATCAACTATTTGAACAAATTTAAAAGGTCTGGGCAGCGATTCCACAAAGTTTCATTGATCACCTGATCGAATCTATGCCTCGAAGATGCAAGGTTATGATCAACAACAAAGAATTCGCCACGAAATATTGATAGCGAAATACAGCTTGGTCAACATTTTGTGGAGTTGCACTTGTTTTGTCCAGAAGGAAATTTTTTTTAATACTTTTGATTAATTTATTAATTTTCGTGTACAAATAATGAACTTTGTGATGAATAAAACACGAAGAACGTTGTCTCTAAACAGTAGCATAGTTATTTCTCTAAATTGAAAAAATGCAGCACTTTTATATAAAGAAACTAAACTAGCATTATTTGGTTGCACTTGTTTTGTCCGATACTGTATATAAGGCAAAGAATAAGGATAAGTTTTCTAATAATTACAAAAACAAAATTACAAAAACATGCTATTAATTTAATATTTTTATGTTTCTAGGTTGTATTGTGCTTAAGTTTGTATATGTTTTTATATATATTGTAGTCATTTTGTTTTTTATTTAGAAACATATGAAAAAAAGCAGACACAAGAACGTCATGATCAAAATGAAGTGCTGACATCAACATTGTCTATTGTAGACCAACATTCTTCATTAGACCAACATTCTTTATTAGACCAACATTCTTCATTAGCTTCTAACGCTTCTCAATTAAAAAATCTAACAAAAAAAGAAAATTACCTAAAGAACTTTAAAGATACAAAGCCTTTGGTTCAGGAATTTGTTAATGACAGAATCAAAAGCAATATGAATGCTTTATTGGATTCCACTGAATCTGCGTCTCTAAATCCGACCTTCGATTCAATTATAAATGATAAAAACTTTTCTTTCAATAAAAACCCTTCCTCCGATAAAAACCCTTCCATCAATAAAAACCCTTCCTTTAATAAATACCCTTCCTCCAATAAAAACCCTTCCTTAAATAAGCAAAGTATTTTAATGTCTCACGGAGAACAACGTGTTTTAAACACAGAACAACGTGTTTTAAACTCGGATTATATTTTAAAAGCGTTAAATTCTATTGAAGAGAGGCCTTCGGAAAATAAATGTTTCGTTTTAGAAACTGCAAGTGGTTTAAATAGCAACAGTAATCTTGTTTCTAAATGTAATTTAACCAATAATTTTACTAATTCAAACCCAATAAATGTCGACAAACTACCTAAAAGTAAATCAGAGCACAAAATAGTTTCAGTAGTTGGTACAGAAAGCGTAAGTGAAAAGTTTCGAAAAATTCGTGAACTGATACCCAATGCAAGCGTTGGTGAATGTTTAGATGGCCTTCGTTACTCCAATCAAGATACTGACAAAGCCATCAACTACATACAAACGTACAAACTTACGCAACTTAATTTCGGATATACATTCAGCTACTGTGAACAAGTGTATCAACTAAATAATTTTGATTTTCATTCAGCGCGTTGCTCATTGACAGTGCAATACGTTGCAGAAAGGTTTAATGGTGTCAATCAAAGCATCGCTTTAGAGATACTAAAAAAGAACAATTGGAATGTAAAAGTAGCCTTAAAAGAAATATTTTTAAAACAGTGTAGTTTGTTTGGTGTTGAGAAAAATCAATCCTTGCATATACTGGAAAGTTGCAACGACGACGTAAAAAAAGCTGAAGAAATGGCTAAAGTTTCAAGAGTTGCAGAAGTTACAGGCAGAAGTGAAGTCTACTGCTTAGACATACTTAGAAGAATGAAATGGAAAGTCGGAGACGCAGTTAGTTATATATTATCAACCTAGTTTTATTTTTTATTTTATATATTTATAATAGTTTGTATTTAATATTTAAGTTATTAACTTTTTTAAACAAATAGAAATTTAATTTATATTTTTTAAAATGTATAGAAAATGTTTTTCTGAATAAAAATTTTTCTGAATAAAAATTTTTCTGAATAAAAATTTTACCTTTGCTAAATATTTTTTAAATAAGAAAACATTTTCTATAATAAGGTTTTGATAAAAATAAATAAGAAAACATTTTCTATAATAAGGTTTTGATAAAAATAAATAAGAAAACATTTTCTATAATAAGGTTTTGATAAAAATAAATAAGAAAACATATCTATAATAAGGTTTTGATAAAAATAAATAAGAAAACATATCTATAATAAGGTTTTGATAAAAATAAATAAGAAAACATATCTATAATAAGGTTTTGATAAAAATAAATAAGAAAACATATCTATAATAAGGTTTTGATAAAAATAAATAAGAAAACATATCTATAATAAGGTTTTGATAAAAATAAATAAGAAAACATATCTATAATAAGGTTTTGATAAAAATAAATAAGAAAACATATCTATAATAAGGTTTTGATAAAAATAAATAAGAAAACATATCTATAATAAGGTTTTGATAAAAATAAATAAGAAAACATTTTCTATAATAAAGTTTTGATAAAAATAAATAAGAAAACATATTTATAATAAGGTTTTGATAAAAATAAATAAGAAAACATATCTATAATAAGGTTTTGATAAAAATAAATAAGAAAACATATCTATAATAAGGTTTTGATAAAAATAAATAAGAAAACATATCTATAATAAGGTTTTGATAAAAATAAATAAGAAAACATATCTATAATAAGGTTTTGATAAAAATAAATAAGAAAACATATCTATAATAAGGTTTTGATAAAAATAAATAAGAAAACATATCTATAATAAGGTTTTGATAAAAATAAAATATTACAGTTTGATACCTGTTAAAACATTCAGTTCGATACCGGTTCAATCACTAAAACTGATCATTTTATAAAAATCAAACTTAAGCTCTATAATTGACTTTTTTGTTGTTGGTGGTGATGGTGATTCATCTATTGTAAATGCGAAAGTAGTAGTTGACGTGACGTTATTTTTATGGGTGTATCAATTATCGGAAAAAACCTTTTGTTGAACCACCTGCAATTTTTAATCTTTTGCTATAAAAACATATCGCATGATCCTATTCTTATTTTCACACAGGATTATTTTTTGTTGTCATATTCCATGCTGTTTTAATGTTTAAATAACCAGCAGTTTTATTTAAATATAGTTTTTATTATTATAGTGTTATATATAGCGTTATTTTTTTTTTGTGACTATAATAAGTCACAAACAAATAACGCCAATTCAAGATAAATTTTGTAAAAAAAAAGTTTAAAGAATGTGATTGCAATATTTAAAAACAAATCTGGAAAAAAAAAAATTTGATTGCAGTTTAACGCAAATAAAAAAGAATTAAAAGAAATTGCAATACTCAAATTTATTTAAAATATATTTATTTTTTAATTCCTAGGATGAATTAAATCTTTTTTTTGTTTGTTTTGTATTTAAATGTATTAAAATTGCAGTTAACTGTTAAATTCTTTTAATTCTGTACCTCAGAAGACAAAGGTCGGTTGTCTAGCTTTTTGTGAAAATGAGTTATGTACTCTCAGGTCCCTAATAAAAGGGGGGGAGGGCGTTTATTAATTTTTGGACAATTTTCCCACCCACCCCAAGCTTACTAAGACCCTCTTCCCCACCCCAAGCTTATTAAGACCCTCTTTCCCCCTCCCCTCCCCCAAAGGTCAATATAAAAGGTCTGGTGTCCTCACAATGTTCAAAGGAAAAACGTCTGTGGAAAAACCATAATATTATTTTTTTTTTATCAAAATTATATTTCATGTGCCTTAAGACAAATTAAATAAAACACGAAACAAATTACATAAATCTAACCATCAAGAATAAGTCAATAAAGACTAATTGTTTTACTATTTCCTCTCTCCTTAACAATTTCTAAAATGTGACAACCGACCTTCGACTTCTGAGGTACAGAATTATATTAGTTGTTTTTGTTTTTTTGAGCAATAACCAAAAATCCGACAAACAGCAACAGTAACCCTATTAAATACCTTAATATATGGTAATTGTTAGCGTACATGATTTAAAACTTAGAGCTTTTCAACTTGATGCTACTATTCTTGATCTTATCAACGTAAACGAGGCTGATCTTATCAACGCACACGAGGCTGATCTTATCAAGGCAAACATCTTATTGACGATAGGCTAATTGCAGTGTCGAAAAACAAAATTAATTTTAATCACTACTCAAACCACTTACGAACTTAAATTTTCATGAAATCAAATTAAACTCTTAACGGGGTCAATACAAAGGAAATGGCCAACCACAAGTAAATAAGTTCTAAGGCCAGTTAAATTTAGTTTTTCTAACACAAAAAGTCTAAGAGCAAAGTTTTGGCCAAAACACCTTGGATTTGGTCAAAGCAGTTTAAACAAAAAATTTTCAAAACAACAAACAAATTACTAAATTTTTATTTAACAAAAGGAAGTTTAAAAAATAATATATAAATACATAAACGAGCAACGTTCCAGCAAAACTCGCATTCCTTTCTTGTTAAACAAATTGGTAAACTCACTTGAACAAATTTATATAGCAAATTGTTAAAACAATGAGTTTTTTGAAGCTTTTATTAAACCGTCATATTGACAATCTTATACACCCGGTTTTCCAACAAGAACCGACTCGATCAAACAACTCTTTAACCAAATATAAACTAATTTCAGCAACTGCCATTTCACTAATTTCTTTGGATAAAAATAAACCAGTATCCTTAGATAACTTCTCTCCTTATGTCTTAAATAAATGCCGTCAAAGTCTAGATTTTCTATGCTATGTCTAATCTATAAAAAACAACTCGCAAAACGCAAATATGTAAATTCAACAATAAAACCCCGATCCCAAAAAAGGTAAAAAAAGCCATTCCTTCTAATTACCGTCTAATATCATCATCGTCATTGATATCAAAAATAACTGAAAGAACTTAATATGACACGCTGAAGTATTTACTTGCTTATAATAGTTGCCGAACAGTAACAAGGATTTTATCAAACTAAAACCTTGGGTCATAAACCTACCAGAGACAATTAACTTGATAAGTGAAGCTTTAAAAAAAAAGGATTTTATGCAATAATAATTTCAAAGAGTTGAATCCAAGTGTATTAGATTGTGTAGACCGCTGAATCCAAGTGTATTAGATTGTGTAGACCGCTGACTACTGCTCCAAAAATTAGAAAATATGGCTTTGATGAGAAGATGTAGCAGCCGTAGCGCAATAGTTAGATATCCTCAATAGCTAGATATCCGTTGTTCAATGCCACTTCTCGGCAAATTTTGTAACATTGGTAAGGAAAGAGGTTTAAACGTCTCTTCAAATGTTCTTCCGCGGTGCTCTGTGATAAGATTCTTAGGACTTCTTGGAGCACCTAAAATGAATAAATAAATAAATAAAAAAATAAGATTTTTGAAAGGTACAAAAACTTCATATCAAATAGGAAACAACGCGTAGTATTGGGTGAAAATAAATCAAGTTGGCTCGAGGTGCAAAGCGGTAAACCTTTACTCTTCACAATCTATCTAAATAATATACCTGATCTAGCTTTAACCAGATTATTTTTTCAATGTCGTCTGCAAATTTTTTACCGACGACAATAAAATGGTCAAAAAGACGAGCTTTAATTGTAAAAAAATGCAAAGTTATGACAAAAAAATGCAAACTCATGCAGAAAAAAATTGAAAAAATCAAAAATCTAATAAAAAACTGCAAGAAATTTATGTTGAAAAATACCGAAGGAAAAAATATTTGAAAATACCAAAGCAAAAAAAATCAAATCACATCCAAACAATAACAATCAAGGCTTATATTCTTCTGAGTGCACTAAAAAGAACCTATACCCAGTGGGCATTTCGACGTCGAACGAACGTCGAGCGACGTCGGATCTCGACGTCGGATCGACGTTGGGTTTACGTTGGAAATGGAAATGTTATTTGACGTCGGATAAACTGACATCGCGCGACGTCGGCATTCCGATGTAAATCCAACGTGTTTTTTGAAAACTAAAAAACGTTGCCTTTGGCAGGTAACGAACCTCGCTCTATTAGAAACTAAATCCTACGCGCTTACCACTACACCACAGCGACATATTACATAATACGTTTATTTAGTAATTTATACTTGTAGCTATTTGGGAATTATTACTTTGATAAGAAATAATTTTGTTTAAATATTATGTAAATATTAAAATGAATAGTTATATATTATAAAAAATGTATACTCGAAAATGTTAATAGTTAAAAAACTATGCTAGTGCATCATACAAAACCTCATGATGTTTTATCAACCATTATTCAAACTTCTTTCCATTAATAAAAAACACGCTTAGTTCACATATTTATTGAAGAGCGCAATTGCGCACATATTGTTGGGTTTGGATTAAATTTTCATCAGCGATGTCTTACGACGTTGTTCCGACGTCGTTTTAAGGACGTTGGATTGACGTCGGAAGACGTCAAAAGACATCGGAGTACGTTAATATTATGACGTTGCCCGACGTCTTTTGGACGTCTTTTATAAGATGTCGGAACAACGTCAAAATACATCGAAACGACGTCAGGGGATGTTGAGATAAAGACATCGCCCGACGTCATTTTACTGACATCGGAACAACGTCGGAATAGGTCTTTTGACATCGCTGATGAAAATCGTACGTAAATCCGACGTCGGATTGACGTCGGGTGCCCACTGGGTAGTTACTGGAATAAAGAATCTTTTATCAAACATAAAACCACAGCTTGAATACTGCGCTCCAGTATGTAACCCGTACATAAAAAAAGACATTAAATACATCGAAAAATTAGACGAAGAGCAAGCAAATTCATTACCAAAATTAGGCAAGCAACAGACTACTACAGCGAGGTTTCAAGAGTTTATCTGCTACACAGATAAATTTTTCTAGTCTTATTATTATAATTTTTAATGCGACACA